CCCACAGCCTGTCGGCCCCCCCGGCGCCTCAGGCCCCGCCCCCTTCCCGGCCGGCGATTGGCCAGCGCCTCTCGGCCCGCCCGACTCACGAGACCTGCGGGCGCCCCGAGAGGCTTGCCGCTGCGCGACTCGGGCCCTCCCTCGGCGGCTGCGCGAACCTGGCTTGAGCCGGTTCGTTTGGGACGCCGCCGGCGCCAGCCTTGGCGCTCCGGCGTCGTATTAACGCCGGCGGTGGGTCCTAGAGCGGCCGACACTTGTCCCGCCCCTCCCCGGCTCTGATAGGGCGCTCCGCTTCACTAACACCCAGTGATTGGCTGACTTGGTTTCGCTGCGCCCGCCGATTGGCCGCTGCGGCGGTCTGTTGTCGCTCGGCCGCCCCATTGGTCGCCCGGGCTCTGTGGTCCTCCGCGGACAGCTGGGGTGGGGCAGCTGGGGTGCAGACTGGCCCGCGCCAACCGGTGTGTGGTCGCCGAGTCACGCGCCCTCCCCGCCGGGGTCTGTGCACCGGGTCCCTCTGCGCTGTTAGTCACGCCCACGCTCACCCTCCCTTTCTCCACATCAGCAGGGGCTCCAGGAGGCCCGGCCACCCCCAGCCCCTTGTGTCCCTGGCGCAGACCAGCGCCACCGAGACAATGGACTCACGCCACACAACTGTTACCAAGAAATGTTTTATTTTTCTTGCAGTAGCTTTGTTAATTGCACAAAATCATGTTGTTTTTGCCATTTAAACATTATCACACAATCCTATTCTGAAAGACAAATGTTCATTAAAAACAAAGCAAAAATAAAAATTCACAACCTAGATTTGTCATTTAAAGGAAGTTTAAAGAAAAAATAAATCGGGTGGGGGTAGAGGAGGGGCTTTTCTTACAAGCTTTTTCACAAGTGTCACATTTTCTCCTTAAAAGGGAAGGATTTCAAAATAAAGGTGAAATAGCTTAAACAGAAATATTCATAAAAAGGAACTTTACAGAATTGTCAACACTATTAAGACAACATTGATAAACCAGTTTCATTACAGCATCTTCCCCCATCCCCACCCCGCAGCGTGTCCGGCCAGGACTACAACAGGCTTTGTGTTCAGACAGAAATGAGTTCAAACTCGGTGAAAATTACAAACGGTGCCCAAAACCAGACAGGCATCTCCCCTGCCCTCCCCCCATGGCCTCAGAGCCTCTAATAATCCGTGAAAAAGGGCCAAGGTCGCGGGGGGTAGTGGCGTGGGACCCCACACCAGTGTGGCCACAAGATTTTTTACATATATATATATATAATTTATCTGTTTTCCTATAAATGCTGACCTTCTGCAAATTGTGACTTTGGAAAAACCCACACTGAGGGAGAAAAAGCTGACATCCCGTAGGTGACTTCTCCTTGTTCTTCTGCAACATTCCAACCCCTCTGGTCCCCTATCCAAGGAGAAATGCTAGGGCCTCCAGGATATCTGCGCTCTGCCTTCTGAGGGTTAGTCAGGTCAGGTCAGGCCCAGTTCTCCTCCCTGACCCACGGAACCCCAGGCCGGGAAGCACCGAAGATCATGATGCTGGCTGGAGGGAAGACACTCATTCCTGTCTCAAGAGCTGAGCCTAAGAAATGGTGAGGCTTGGTATGGGCCAAAGACAGGATAGAAAGAAATACTATCCCTCTGTGAGGAGAGGGGGAAGCACGTGAGGAGGAGAGGGGGCAGCATGCAAGGGACTTGTGCAGGGAAGGGCTGGCAGTTGGGAGATGGCAGGGCCGTGTGAGGGGCCGGGTCAGAGGGGCTCTCCAAAGCCAGTTGAAGAGTCTGTGGCATAACGGAAACAGGAAGGAGCCCATCTCCCCCGACTCTTCACTCCTCACTGGTGGCCCTCAGGGCCCCTTTCCTAAGGGCTGGAATGCAAATCCAAATACTAAAACAGCCTGGTGAGAAGCAAGCTCCCACTACACTGACACAAGAATTCTGATCCCAGCCCAGGGCTCCGCAGTGCTGGCGACTTCTGGGATGGGTGCTGGGAGTATGGAGAGGGCAGGGCTCCCACGAAGCTCCCCCAAGGGCTGGCTGCTTGCTGCCCTGTTTCCGCTGGACTTTGCCAATCTCTTTTCAGGTCACAAAGGCATTTATGAAGAGGTGGTAGCATGTTGGTAGCTTAAACATGAAAATCCTCATCAGCTGGTCACCTGAGGTTGGCAGTCTCACAGGACGCTCCCTCTGGAGTCTTGCTGGCTCATCGTGGCCCAGAGCCTCTCCCTGCAGGCGGTGCAGTGGGGCTGTGGACATGACTATAGCCTCCTCACTCTGGGGAAGCCGTGGGGAGCCTTCCAACTCTCACTGCTGATTCCAGTTCCTTGGCTGGACGGGGTTTGAGATAAGACAAGCTCAGAAGAAGAAAAAGCCAGGCAGCAGTTTCTGGGCAGCCTCTATCCTGGGGTGAGAGCCAGTGTGGGGTGTGTGTGTGTGTGTGTGTGTGTGTGTGTGTACACAACCACCTAGTCCAGGGGCCAGTGCCCAGCTCAAGAGCTTTCCACAAGCCAATCCTGCTAGCAGCCCCTCCTCCCCAGGATCTCCAGGGGAGTGATGCTGTGTGCTGCGTTGACGGCAAGTCTCAAAGTCTGTAGAAAAGGAAATGGAGACAGGTGGACTGGTCCAGAGCTAAGTCCCAGGACCCTGACCCCGTGTGAGGAATAGGGGTCAGAGGGAATATCGGAGGGGCGGGGGTGGGGGGGCGTTGACAGCTTAGTGTATATAGGCTCGGTACACGGCAGACATATCATTGTCGGACTGGTCCAGTGCCTTGGCTCTTTTGTACACCTGGAAAACAAGAGATGAGGATCAGCCTCTGGCCACGGAGCGGACTTAAAGACACAGACCTGATTCTGGAGGCCATTCCAGGTGCAGCTAAGCAGGGAGGATGTTCTGGAGTTGAGACTGTCTGGGTGTAAATCCTGGCTCCCCCACTTACTGGCTTGACCTGGGGCAAAGCACCTAAGCTCTGCCTTAGCCATCGCCCTAACTTCATGGGGACGGCGTGAGGATGAAATGTAGTGACAGGTGTGACTGCGCAGTGTGCTGGTACTGCCAGTTGTGACAGCGATGCCCCCTCCTGCTCAGCGCCCTCCAAGGCCCTCCCCTTTTACTCTCTGGCCTTTGCCCCTGCCGCGCCCTCTTCCTGGACCACTTGTCCCACTGTGTGGCTGGCCCCTGCCCCATCAGCTCGCAGGCCTTCCCTGACTGCCCCACCTCAAGGAGTGCCTGCATCCCAGCCACATCTATCTCTTGACTGGTTTTTTTTTTTTTAAATTGTATTTCTCCCTCTCTGAAATTCTTACTTGTTTCAGTGTCTATGTGCTTATTTTGTGTCTCCTTCCATTGAAATGTAAGCTCCACAAGGAAGGGAAGCAGCTGCACACCAGTATGTCCCCAGGGCCTAAAACAGTGCCTGGCAGTTAACAGTGACCCAGACACACTATCTGAATATGCGAGAGGGTGGAGAGAATTAAACAGCCACTGTTGACAGGGCACTGTGACATCCAGTTGTGTTAAGACAAGGTTTTCTGCCTGTTTGTGTTTTAACATAGCGCAGTCAGAGCCACCATGACTGAGAGTCTGTTACAGCTCAGGCATAAATGCTGGAAGAACCCGGGGCCCGCCCTCGGTGCCCTCTGCTCTCTGTGACTCCTAAGCAGGCCTGAGGGGGTAGACACAGGGCCAAGGAGGGCAGCCAGCCACATCCCGGCTTCTCTGGAGGCTGGATCCCGCCACTCTGCCTTCAGTCAGCACCTAAGGTGCCGGACAAGAGCCCAGAGGATGTCTGCTTGACCCAGGCACAGACCCTTGTGGGAGGCTATGATGGGGGAAAGGGCACACGAAAGACAACATCTGTTTTCAGAAAGCTATGCCTGACCCCTCCCCAGAGAATGGCAACCCAGTCTCTCATCCCCTTCCCCTAGCATGCGGTCAAGAAAGGTACTGACCTGTAGATGTTCTTTCCAGCCCTACTGCAGCAAAGAGGCTGGGAGAGCCGAGATGCTTGTAATGGCCAAGTAAGCCCCCAGCAGACCAACCCACCTCCCAATTACAGCTATAAGCTCTGAACCAAACACATACTCCCCACAGGCCCTGCAGGGATAAGCAGACAGAGTCTGGAGGGGTCTTGGTTCCTGGAAGGAGGATGCCGCGGGCATGGGTTTCCTTTGTTGTTTTTTGCCTGAAGGTAGGCTGTAGCCTGCACGGGCAGGGCGGCTAAGCTTGCTAACCTTCTGGGCCTGAAGAGCCAGAGGGAGGAGTCTGGGGCAACCACAGCTGCTGGAAAGTGAGGGGGGGATCCTAGAAAGGACAGCATCAGAGAGGGGAATCCCATAAACTCTGCCTGACCCCTGATCTCTGGCTGAGGAGACCCAGATGTCCGAATCAGGAGACAAAGATTTAAAAGCAATTATTATACGCAGGCTCAAGGACATAAAGGAAAATATGCTCACAACGAAGGGAAAGACAGAAATCTCAGCAGGGAAACAGAAACTACATAAAAAGAGAAACCAATGGAAATTCTAAAATTGAAAAATACAGTATCTGAAATAAACAATTTACCCAGAAGAATGGAGATGGCAAAGAAAAGCGTCAGTAAAGACGGGATCACTGATACGGATCCCATCTGAGGAAAAGAGAAAGAAGGGCGTGAACGTCCGAGAACTTTCCATCAGAAATAGTGGAGTCAGATGACAATGAACCCAAATCTTTAAAGCGATGGCAAGGCCACACAACAATACAACTGTTAACTCAGAATGCAGGCTCAAAAGAGACCTTTTCAGGTAGAAGAAAACTAAGAGAATTTGCTACCAGCAGACCTGTATTACTAGAAATGCTAAAGAAATACTTCCAGCTGAAAGGAAATAATACTAGATGGAAACTTGGTTCTGTAGGAAGGGGTAAAGAAGAGCATTGGGAAGGGTAAACCTAGAGAAATACAAAATTGTTTTCCTCTTAATTTCTTTAGCATACATATAACTACCTTAAAGCAGAAAAACACGAAATTGTCTGGGGTTTCAAACACAGGTAAATGGAATACAGAGGACCTATCTCTGCCTTAAAGCAGCGGTCCTCAACTGGTGGAGACTCTACCACTTGAGGACATGTGGCAATACCTGGAGACGTTCTGATTGTCACAACTGAGGGGGTGGCTGGGGTACTGCGAAACATCCCACAATGCACAGGACAGCCCCCTCAGCACAAAGCATCCATAGTGCGGAGAAAAAAAAGCTGGGAGGCATTCAACGGACCGCGACGGTTGTGAGGTTTCTGTGTTTCATGTGGAGTGGTACTATACCAACTCTAAGTAGACCGCAATGTGTTCAGGACGTACACTATAATCCCTAGAGCAATCACTGATAAAATAATGCACAGAGGCACAGACAAAAAGCCAGTAAAAAAGACAAAATAAAATTCCAAAAAATATTCAAATAATCCAAAAGAAGGCAGAAAAGGGGAAAGAGACAGACGAAAGACAGAAGTGGCAAACAGAAATCAGAGGGTAAAATGGCAGCTCCATATCCAACCACATCAGTTACCCACAAGACCCTGAGCATGTGGTTCACACTATTCAGTGGTCAGAAACCTCCAAGCTCCGTTGAGAAATTAACCAAAATATCTGTTTCCAAGCCAGTGAATCCTATAGAGTCAGGGCAGAGGGAACTCAGAAAGCACCTCACGGAGACACTTCCCCAACTCGGGCCACTCTCGGAACCCTTCAGAAGTAGCTGCAGGTGAAGGTGGGCTCAGTGACAGAAAGGTACACGGTACAGAAGCTGGTACCTCATTGGCTGCGGCTGCCATAGGAGTTGGATGGTTGACGGCATCGCCCAGTGCAATGGCTAAGCGCAGATCTTTCTGAATGTATTTCAGGTAGAAATCAGGCTTAAAGTTCCCTTGCAGGATATCTGAGGGGAAAAAACCACTCATCAGAAGAAATCAAAGGACCGTAAAAAAGAAAACATCTGCAGCAGCATCAGGGCTAGCCACCTGGCATTCCCAACTCGTCCGACCCTCCTGGCCCCTCTAAGTCCTGAGCCTGTGCCCCCAAACCCCATTCGTGGTCTCTCTACAAGTCCTTTGACTGAAGGCGTAGACAGACTGGAGAGGGTCCTTCTTTCACCCCCAGTGAGGCCCTGAAGAAGAAACTGTCCTGTGGCAGGAAGCAGCTGCCTGACGCAGTTCCCCACCATAATGAACTAGTAAAATGCATGAAGAGAGGCCAAAGGCAACTTTACTTTGGCACTTCTGGTCCAGGAAGATGCTGGCCAACTGTCCCTGATTGAGGATGTCCAAGAGTGTCTGCTGGGACTGGCCTGTCACTTGGGCCAGGGTCAGGCCCTCGGCGATGGTGGCCATGAAGCTCCCCTGGACCATGTTCACGATGAGCATCATCTTGGCTGCGTTGCCAACCTCACCTGCAAAGAGTCACGGTCACTTCCCACGAACTCTGCAAGCAAGGCCTTTCTGCCCCACCCTTATCCCTGCTCAGACGCACCTCTACACCCAGGAGGGCCCCTGTGCACCTGCCCCCAACAGAACCAGCTCTTCCTCCTCCTGAGCACTGACTGCAGGCCAGAGGAAACCTCCCCCGGGGCACCAGCGGAGGCTGTGCGGGCCGAGTGCGGTCCGTCAGTGCGGTCTGGGGGTGTGGCCTCAAATGGCACGATGGCGAGGGCAGCAGGCATGTTACCTAGGAAGAAGGAGGTCTTCCCCATGGCCTGGAAGCAGCTGCTGCAGTCCTCGTACAAGCCCCTGTCTCCGGCCGCTAAGATCACCAGCATCCCATCGTTAGACAGCTGCTGGTTCCCTGAGACGGGGGCTTCCAGGAAGCGGCCCCCCCTGGACACAATCACCTGGGAAGGAAAGTCACAGCTTCTGGAACCCCTGCCTCTCTCACAGGGTCCAGGTGGGGAGCACATGGGGTAGGGAGTACAGAGGGCCCTCAGATGGGTGCCTCTCACCCCAGGGACATGTCTTCTCACCACTCCCAAAAGAGCTAAGGGGTGTGAGCTGTGGGTTGACCACCAAGGGCCCAGAGCCGTGGACAGGCTACATGGATCGTCCTCCAACGCATGCACAAACCACATGGCAGTAAACAGAGAAGCCAGAGCCTCCTTGCAGGCTCCCACTTACCCTGCATCTTCTTACAAAGACTGAAGAATATCACCAACTCTGACTGTGCCAACAGCGTGGCCAAACACACCATCCCTACGGACACCGCCCTTCCTGGCTTTAGCCCCTTGCAGAACATACATGGGGTCCAGAAGGCACTGCTCCCTCACGGGGGCCCAGAAACTCTGGAAGGAGCAACACTTTCCCACCGTGTCAACTGGAGACAGCTGCTCAAACCAAGAAGGCCATGCTGGCAGCGCGGACCCCTTCTCATTGGGAGGGGGCAGCAATAGGGCACAATGCCCTGCTCAGCGGGACAGCAACCTCCCACAGCCATTCCGACCAACTGCAGCTTTGAAGGTAGAGGGTGAAAGCTGGCTGGTCCCAAGGCTACTGGTCTCCAAGAGTCACCAAGCTGCCAACACTTGGGTCTGGTCACTCTGGGTCTTAGGTTCCAATTGAAAGGGTGTTAGAGGGCCAACCCAAACTAGGCCGCTACCTGGGCCAGCTCGGTGACTGTGTCTGCGTCCACTGTTGACATGTCCACGTAGCACTTCCCAGGGCGGATCCCTTGCAGCACACCACTGGGGCCCAGCACCAGCTGTGGGGACACAAGGGAGAAGCAATAGCCCAGGCTCCCGGCCAGTTCCCTGGCGAGCCCCCCGGCCCCAGATCAGAATCCTGCTGCCTTTTGGGCACATTTCCCAATTAGGAGCTAACTACTAAGACTGAAAAGAGAAGAATAATTTAAAATGCAAGGGAAAGAAGAGTATTTCCAGCATGTTCCCATCATCTTTAAAAAGGATATATGTATGTTTCTTTTCATTAAATACATCCCGATTGAAAAAAGGAAACACGGTGTTTATTTTTTAGGAGTTTTTTGGATTTACTTGGATTAGATTAGCCACCAGTTCAACAAGACGACTACCTCCATCAATGTCTGAACTTTAAGACACACAAATACAGTAACAGCTACACACAGGAACTTGGCATACAGACCGAAGGCACACTTGGCCCCAAAGCTGCCAGCTCCACAAGCATACATGGAACCCTTTCAGCCCAGACCTCTGGGACCCTGGTGGTTTTCAGTCATTGCTCTGAATGAAAGGAAGCCTGTATTCAATCGATGCGAACACCCTTCACAAAGGGAGATGGCCCCCAGACGGGAAATTCAATCCCCAAGCGCAGACACTCACTCTGTGTGCAGGGCAGAAGGGGAGTGGGCCGGCCAGCTGCCCTGGCTACAACCTGGGGAGGGAGGGAGGGAGGGAGCCTTACGTCCTTGGCTGCCTTCGGATCCGACACGCAGGCGAAGGTGATGTCGCAGGTTGAGACGACTTCAGCGGGGGTCCTTCCTAGGCGGGCCCCCTCCTGAATGAACAGATCACACTGCAAAAGTCACAGATGCCAATGTGAGCCACAGGCAGCGCATAACAAACATACTGACCAGGCCAGACACACAGTGACCAGCCCTCCTCGCCACCTCCCGAGGTAGAGCGAGGCTGAGGCAGGAGCCCGGAGCCCAGAGCTAGAGGTTTGACTTCCTGAGGGAAGGGAACGGGCCTCTTAAGGACCCTCTTGTGTCTTTGCATACCTGGTGCATAGATCGATGTTCTACTTCACAGTAAGCACAAAACAAGTGTCTGTTGTTGGGTTCCTGTTTGAAGAACAGGATGTTGAACAGTACCTGTCCCCAGCCCCGCTGTGGTTGTCTTGGCTGTGGCAAAATCCATGCCAGAGCCCTGAGCTACCAGAACTGTGCTGGGGAATCAGGTCTGGGCCCAGAGGCATCCATCCTGGCTGATGTTCCTCACTGAGCTGTTCTCTGCCAGGCTGACTTCTGGGGTGCTAAAAGTGCTAAACTTTTCTTTTCTGATAACTAACATCACCGAGAACATCCCATGACAAAACAAACCCTTAGTGTTTTTTTCCCCAGGCATTTAACAAAGTAATGAGAATAATTTTGTGTCTACTGTTTGACATCCAATTTTTATATTTTGTATGACTCAAATTTATCCATGCTGTTGTGGTCTTTGATAATTACTGTTTATAATGGATGGCTGCAGAACATTCCATTGAGATACACCTCAATTTATCTAACTGTTCCCCTACAGTTTGCCATCTAGCCTGATACCCATTTTTAATTAGGGACACCAACAAACACCTTTGTGTACAAAATGTCCCTTCTTTGTTTCAAATTTAGATCTTCATAAATAGAATAAAACTGGTTCCAAACTGTTCTAAAGCTCTTAAGACACCAAGACAAATGGCTTTTCCATAGGGCTGTGCCAACTTATAATGACCATCATCAAGGTCTCCAACAACCAGCACCGAGTCTGTCATTTAAAAACAACAAATAAACCGCATAAATACATTTTAAACTTTTCCTATTTGATAATTTAGCCAGCCAAAAAACAGCAACTTCTTGTTTGACATATTTTGATTATGCCTGATTACTGAACCTTTCTGGAACCTTTGTTTAGTATGTTCCTTCTTTTGTGAACTCTTTGTCTTAGAGTTATCAAGCAACGAGTTTATTAAAATCAATGTACTATCCTCTTTCTATCAAAAATGTGTTGATCTTTTTCTTGAGTGACTTTGACTGCTTCTGGGCTTAGAGACCGAAACCAAACCAAAACCCGTTGCCACTGAGTTGATTCCAACTCACAGCAACCCTATAGGATGGAGTACAGCTGCCTCATAGGGTCTCCAAGAAGCGGCTGGTGGATTAGAACTGCCGACCTTTTGGTTAGCAGCTGAGCTCTTAACCACTGCACCACCAGGGCTCCAGGCTTAGAAAGACCTATGTAAATATTTTATTTTCTTCTGAAAACATTAATTCAGTAATCTATTTGGCATATATTTTAGTATGTGGTAGGAAGTGAGATTAATATTTCCCTAAAACTTCTTCTAACCGAACATAATTTACTGACCAATCCTTCACTCTGCTTCACTGACTTGGAAGGATGTGGTTTTTCTCTGAGTACGTCCGTCCTAGGCTATCTACTAGACTTCTGTCCATTCCTGCAAGTGCATCATCGTGGCTTTTTAGTACTGTAGCTTTACATTACGTTCGAAGTTTTGCTTGGGGGAGTCCTTCTCATTACTCTTCCTCTGTGAAAATTTAAAAATGTTTCCTATTTAGTATTCTAGAAGAACCAGTCGTTTTTATCACGATCCTTTAAAAAAATGACATGAAGATTGTCACAGAACTAGATAAAACAGCTTTCGAAAGCTGGCATGTCCTAAGCCATCTGTGCAGGGACGGGCTAGTGCCTGCCGTCACCTCACTACACCCCCACACCCCTGAAGGGGGCGCTTTCTTAGCGCCAGTTTTAAATTCACAGTTAAAGGCATCTTGCTTAGGAAGGTCAGCACCAGAGCTGTGACATGAATTCAGGTCTGCCAGGTCCTTAACTGCTCTCTGCTCTACTGCCTTCCCCTAAATTAAATCAAACGACCATTTAGGTTTTCTAAGGACTGGTGGTACTTACATCCAAGGGGACTGCACTCCTAACACAAGCCCTCTGATCCGCCTGATATTCTCACAGCCAGGTCTGCCTAGGTTTTCGGGTCACCCTGGCCTTTGGCCACAGCAGGGACTTAGAAGAGTGTTTGCATCGCAAGGTAACCAGCCAATGGGGCCTCTGAGACCTCACTGCTGGCTCAGGCACCCGCAGTGCCTATCCAATGCCCATCACCTGACACCCTATCCCTCTGCTTGGTCCTCAGCGCCTGTTTTCCCCAGTTCCTCTTTCAACTCTCCAATCATTTCCCTGTTACCTTGGAAAAGGACTCTTCCCCAGCAAAGCAAGTTTTTTACCTTGCCTGGAACGTTCCTGTTAATGGGCACGATCAGCTCTGACACTCGTCCAGCCAGCACACCTCCTGTATGCTCTCCCCACTGCTGCACACCCACAGGGCTGCTGCGACGCTGCCCTGTGCACACACGGGCACTAACCCACTCCCCGAGCCACCCGCAGCCGCACTGTGCTCTTCAGCAAGCTGGGACTCTTTCACTCTCCTGCCTTTGTTCCTGGCGATAGGTGCGGTGCTTTATTTTCCTCGTACTCAGACTGGGCTCTTCACCTTTTCTTGCATGAAGCCGTGGAACACCTCAGTCTGAGAAATTTCTAAACCTGTGCTGTCCGTTACCGCCAACCCTAGCCACACAGGCTATTTAAACTGAAATACACTTAAACATTTGATTCTTCACTCATACTAGGCACATTACAAACATCCAATAGTGACTTGTGGACAGTGCAGATACAGAACATTTCTATCACCACAGAACATCCTAGTGGATAGCGCTGTTCAACACAAACCAAACAACAGAATACGCTGCAGCCACTGAAAAGAACAAAACAGATCTATACGCACTCCATGCGAATGGTACTCACGGTACATGGCTACAC